AAAGAGAACTCGCTTGGAGGAGCTAGAGAATCCACAGCTCAGGGAAGCGAAGTACAATTATTTTAAACAACTCAAGCTAAACTAACTCTCTTGGTTTCCAGATGAGAGCTCCACCAGCTCAGGCAGGGCCTGCACACTCCTCGTGGCTCCCCTGCTCCCTGCCCCACCGCTCAGCATCCCCCTTCTCCTCCCTGCTGCGCCCAGACTGTGGTCTGGCTCAGCTCCAGCCCTGGATGACCCATTTTTGTTCCCTTGGTTATAACCTGATGCTGGTCAACCTCACACCAGTCCCTGTCTCCTTTCCTCTCTGCACTCTTCCAGTGCCTGGGGACATCACAGCTCATCCTCTTCCTCTTATATATGAACTACTGGTTTTTTGTGCTACAGCTCTTTGCTGTGGACTCCTCTGACTCATGCACATCACCCCATTCCCTTCATCTCTGTGTAACTACAGTTCCTTTTGGAGCCAGCCTTGGTGAATGGTGACTCTCAGAGGAAAGAGCAAGGGGCTTCAAAGAAGCATTTGGGATTTCAAGGGACATTCTCAGGGTGCCCCATTTGGGGAACAGCAGGGTGATTTCCTCCTGCTAGATTGGCTGGCAGGGAGTCCTGCTCTCTTCTTGCAGCTGCGAGTCGGTGCAACATGACTGCACAATAACCAAAAGAAAAAAGATGGATTTAGGGGAAGGACTGCTGGGCAAACTATTACAGTAAGGAGGACTACTAGGGAAAGCTTAAAATAGGCACAGAGCAGCCAAGACTCCAGTTTTAAGGTCTTACATTGAAGATCCACAAAAATGAACAGCCTGACACGCCTACATCAACAAAACAGGATTCTATACGATTGCAATATGAGCAGTCTTTTGCAATACATCAGCAAGAGCCCAGTGTATCTCTCAGCAACAATCTATGCTAAAATAACAGCAATAGGATGATTCTGCCCCTCTGACTGATGGATATTGGTGCTGTGAGTGTCTGGTTTGAGAAATCCTTACGTAGTCTATTGAAACGAAATTGTTCGGGGAAATGGCATTACTGTGCGCGTATCAATTCAGTTTTTCTTGTGTCACAACAAAGCTGATACACAAAGGGGAGAGAAGAGTATGAAATGAACAGTTTCCCCCATTCCCTTCACACCACACATACGTGCCCGTGGAGAACAGATGGAAGAAATGAACATTGTGTTGAGAGAGGAAAAGTGTTTGAAGGTTTATCAGGGAAGGAAACTAAGACAGATGTCATGCTTATGTCATCTGTTAAAACCTTGACAGTACTTGCAGAATTGGGATATTCAATATATTGCAGGCCGTGAGCTCTGCTCTTGTACTTTGAAAGGATGCTGGGTAGGGACCAGGAGAGTTACTGTACCTAATTCAAAGGATACGCATGGGGTGTTGGCAGCTTCCCATTTAAAAAAGAGAAAGTGAGACCAAGTGCACAGCAGTGGGGTCCAAGCCACGGGTGTTGGCTCCACAAGGAGCACAGGAAAAGGTTAACCTCAAAAACTCACAGCACTGTGAGGCTCGATTTTGGGTCGTTCCATAGCAATGGTAATGCAGTTCAGGAAAATGATCACCAAGACGATATGATCAAACATCTTGTGTGTGATGATTTTATTGCACATCAGACGAAATCTGCCGAGAAAGAAGAAAAAAGAAAAAAAAAGAGGAGACACAGACTAGCTATTAATGCTTGACTGGTTGGGGAGAAATGCAGCAGCTCGATGCATAGCAGAGGAATCAAGTGCTCCGTTTGCAAAGCAGATGAGCTGCAATCTCCCAATCCCCTCCCTGGCAGAGCTACACGCTGCAGGCAGATTGGGGTATGAATAGAAAAGGATCCAAGCTACAGAATTGGGCCACAAATTTCAAGCCCTGGTGATGTTCGTAGAGGGCTTTGGCTCACTGGAAATGGAGCAGCTGCTTCCACAACTCGGACATGCGGCCAGGTTTGGATCCGACCCCCTACCTGGTTCGTAGTGCTCAGATTTAGCTTAAATAAAGGAAGAAATACTCCCAGCAAGCCTGTAAGGGTTGAGTGCACATGGAACAAAGGGACAGAAGCTATTTATTGTGACAGATGGCTGTACACTGACCCAGGATTTATAATACCGTATTACATTTCCCAAAGTCTGTTTCTGAAAATCTCTCTAATCTTTGTATGAATGAACTCGAATGCTGTCCAAGGCCCACCAGCTCAAACACGGGAAACCCTCAGGAAGCTTGGGTTAATGTTCAGAAGAACACATAGGAGACCACAGAGCCCAGATGGTTCCAGCACGGCTGGGCTTTGGGAAGGGCAGAGCCGGGGTCCTGCAGGCAAGGAGAGGGTGTTTTCTGGGGGTTGTTGGGAGAGCGAGGAAGAGAAGGGAGAGGACAGAGAAGTCCAGGTTGAGAGGCAGGTTTAGGAGGTCAAGGAGTGTCCTTCGCTGTCTTGTAAGTGTGCACTGGGGGCAAATTCAGATTTCTCTGCTTAATGCAGCACCTTTCCCACTGCTTCAAACTCCCCACACTCCATCAAGTGAAAAATTTGGAGAGCACTGGCATCACTGATGAAGCAAACAATGAACTTGATAAAGCTGTGGCCATGCCCTGGGTTATGGATCTCTACTGGACGCTCCTATGCCATGGCCACGCCTGCCCTGGAGCGGCTCTCTGCAGCTGGTGGCCGTTTGCTGTGTGACCCCAATGTAGTGCTGGAGCAAGGACTGGGAGTTTTATGGACCAACACAGAGACCCATCTGGGATAGACGAGCAGAGTGAGCCATCGTAACGAGGGCATCCGTGTCCAGCATGCCACTGCTGCTCAAGTGCAGCTGCCTTACCTTGAGTGAGGGGCGAAGATATAGATGGACCAGGAGTCTCTCTCTTTGCAGCAGGTGGGGAGACGTGCCCGTACCCACGCCTTCATGCGGTCCCTTTTGCTCTAGGAGGAAAACGTACAGCAGACCAGCAGGAAAACACAGAGAAAACTGTTAAAAAAATAACCCCCAAAAACTTCCAAGAGAAGGACTTGGGGCAATTTTTTACTGAACACATCTCCAAGTGCTGAAATAAAATGAGCTCCCCAAAAAAGACCCCGCTGGGCAGGAGAAGGGGCTCTGGCAGCCAGGCGAGGGCTGTGCTGGCCCTGCGAGCTCACAGGGTTTGGTCTTGCTTCTTCCTCCGCATGGTAACTGCATCTGGCACGCTGTTAGCCAAGAGAACAGATGTGGTAAATGAAATCCTTGTCCCAGAGGACTGATAACCTGCTCTGATCAGCCTCAGTCCCTCCAGATACTCATCAGACGCTTGCCTGAATTTTCTAAGGTTTTTCTGGTATTTTTATTGGGTTTTTGTGGTTTGGGGTTTGGTTTTTTTTTTTTAAGAATATATAATGATTATGTCAGAGGTTATAAAGGGCAGAGAGG